GTGTGTGTGTGTGTGTGTGTGTGTGTGTGTGTGTGTGTGTGTGTGTGTGTCAGGGGGCACACTAATAATGGGACCAGTGAAAAAAGATCCGATTAACCTGACCCCCCCACTCAAAAGCTGTACTACCATGGGGAGCCCCTCAATGTCAATGTCCACGTCACCAACAACTCCACCAAGACTGTCAAGAAGATCAAAGTCTCTGGTAGGACATGGGGGTTGGAAGAGTGTCTTAGGGGAGGGAGTTGCTGCAAATGTGGCCTCAGGCATCAGCTCAGCCCCAGGACATAGCCCAGTGGGGAGACCCGAGGGGCTCAAAGGACTCAGGCTGTCTGTCCCAGGATGAGATGGGGGTGGGGTTTACTGCTAGGGGGAGGGTGCGGGTCATCAGAGGGGCAGGGGCGGTGATGCGCTGGGGCCAGGGCCCTTGCCTGGGTCTGGAGTTGGGGGTGGGGGGGGCTGCCAGCACTCCATGTGGAGCTGCTTGGCCCTACCCCACCCCACAGTGAGACAGTACGCCGACATCTGCCTCTTCAGCACCGCCCAGTACAAATGTCCTGTGGCTCAGATCGAACAAGAGTGAGTAGCACAACAGCTCTGGGTCCCAACCTCAGGGGAGAAGAGTAGGCCCAGGGAACGTGAGGTTGGGGGGCAATTCTTCCCGAACTGTCTCCACTTACAAGGGCATTCCCTCCAGCTGAGTGGCTCCGAGCTGCTCATTTTATTGAGCAGGTCGAGCCAAAACCTCCTCCCTGTGACCTGTGCCCAAAGACGGCAGGGGCTAGTGACCGGGGAGAAGCTGCTGGGGGTGGGAGCTGCCCCCTCACCCCATCTGCGCCCCCAGAGTCTCGCTCTCTTGTCCCCATCCCCCAGTGACCAGGTGTCGCCCAGTTCCACGTTCTGTAAGGTGTACACCATAACCCCCCTGCTCAGCAACAACCGGGAGAAGCGCGGTCTCGCCCTGGACGGGAAGCTCAAGCACGAGGACACCAACCTGGCATCCAGCACCATGTGAGGGGGGGCTGGGGGAGGGGAGTCCTACAGCACAGGAGACAGACACTCGTTCCACGCCAGGTGTGTGCCAGGCTCTATCGGTGAACAGAACAGACCCCAAACATCTCTTACATTCTCGGAGACGGAGGCCAGACAGATCAGATAAATGGCAAAATATAAGGCATGTTTAGTCATAGGTGTTGAGGAGAAAAAGCAAGGCAGAGAAAGGAGATATAAAGCCGCGGCGGGGGCGGGGGGGGCACGTAATCCAGTGGTGAAATCTGAGGAAAGGTATAAAGGAAGTAGGTACTGTGGGTGCGCAGGGGAAGAGTGCTCCGGGCAGAGGGTACTACAGGCACAAAGACGCGGAGGCAGACGGCCCCGTGTGTCTGAGGCGGCAGGAGCGGCCGCAGAGCCACTGCTGGCCTCTGCGGGCCCCGTGCCTCTCGGAACAGCTCCACCAAGGGTGGGCTGGATTTCACCCACACTGGCACCTCTGTACACGACCACACACAGCAGGCCTTGAGGCCAGCGTGGGAGCAGGAAGTGAGGTCAGAGGGCTAATGGAGAGCAAGACAGTGCAGGGCTGCTGGGTCACAAGGACTTGGGCTTTTACTGGAGAGAACTGAGAAGATGAGAGGAAGGATGCAGCCGGGTACCTTACACAAGACCAGCCTAGGGCGCAGGGCAATGGGCTCTGGTCCAACTCCTCCTCCCACTTGCAGCGTTAAGGAGGGTGCCAACAAGGAGGTGCTGGGAATCCTGGTGTCCTACAGGGTCAAGGTGAAGCTGGTGGTGTCTCGAGGCGGGTGAGTGCTGGGGTGGGGCGGTGGCGCAGGGCTTTCCTCTGGCGCTGCAGTGTCATCTCATCACCGTGCCTCTCTCTCTCCCCAGGGATGTCTCCGTGGAACTGCCTTTTGTTCTTATGCACCCCAAACCCCATGACCACATCACCCTCCCCAGACCCCAGTCAGGTGAGTTTGCCACCCGCCCAAGCCCCGCAAGGGAAGGCCTGAAGCAAGGCCAGTGGAGGAAAAAGCCGGTCCTTTCAGCAACCCCCCACCCCCCCACTCTCCTCCTCCCCTCAGCTGCTCCTGAAACAGATGCCCCTGTGGACACCAACCTCATTGAATTTGATACCAAGTAAGAGACTCACCCCCTACCTTCCTAGCTTTGACTCTCTTTGGATAGAGATTCCTGTAACGTTCAAACCTACCCTCTGCCCCTCATTGTTTTTCTCTTGGGGGAGGGATGGTTGAAGCATCCAATCGAGAGGACTTAGCCATGTGAGCTGCCGATTACCTCCCCTTCTCTGTCCCTTCTTGCAAATACCTCCAGCCCCGCGGCTGCCCCAGCACCTCTGTCTCCGGGAGGGGTGTGGGAGGTGGAGAAGGAGGGCCGGAGCCCTCGCCTCACCCCTCCTCTCCACCACCAAGCTATGCCACAGATGACGACATCGTGTTTGAGGACTTTGCCCGGCTTCGGCTGAAGGGGATGAAGGACGAGGACTACGACGACCAGTTCTGCTAGGAAACGGGGCTGGAAGAAGGGCGTGGATGGTGCTGGGAGACATAGGGGCAGGACCAAGACCCCCACTGTCACCGGGGGGGATCCCAGCCTCTCTTCCTTTCCCCTCCACCCAGCGGCTTCCTCAACCAACCCCTCACCTCCCTCCCTCCCTCCCCTATCCCCCACCAGATACACACTGGACCCATCTCTTGTGGATCGTGGGCATTAATTTTTTGACTACGGCTGTGCTTCCCCAGCCCCCAGTGGGTGGCAAGCTGGGTTTGTACCTAAATGTTTTGGAGGGGGACACTGAAGAGGACAGTAGGGAAAGGGCGGGGGGAAGAGCTCCCACGTTCAACCTCACACCAACACCCCCTCCTGTCACTATCTCTGCCTCCCATTCCTTCAGGATGAGACCCTTTGGGGGGCAAGGCCGGTTCTTTGCTTCTGAGCATAAAGAAGAAAATAAACCTTTTAATAGGCATGAGCACGTGTGTTTTCTAGCAGCGCTTAAGGAGCACATGGTGTGCGCACCCATGACTGTTAGCCGTGAGTGAGGGCGCAGTCTCTTCTCTGCACCCACGTGGCGCCTGGCCGGCCCACAGCTGTACCTGAGCTCCAAGGTAAACATGGAAACTTGATTTGGTCAGTCCCAACTCAAAGGTACAGTTTGGTAAAGCCACAAAGTAAACTCACCCATTTACAGAGGGAATAATAACTCACTTCCCTGCAGACTAGATGTTCTTGGGAGGTGCGCAGGGCAGGCCCTTCCCTGTTGCAGTTGACACACACGACTGCATGGTGACCTGTCGTGACCGACTGTGTTCATTTCCACTGCTCTTTATGGTTGCTCAAGCTGTCCACTCCTGGGGCTCAGCGGCACCACGGCTGCAGGCAGAAGCCACACGACACACATCTCTGTGGAGCCTGGTCCTTACACTGTAACACAGACACCGAGGCTTTGGGCAGCCAAAGGGAGTCATGCTGCTGTGGACAAGTCCAAGAAGCTACATCCTACTGCTGCTCCTCTGACATCCATCAGGGACTCCCAGAGGCTTGGCCGAAGCCCCAGGCTAGGCTGGAGGGAGTTAGCAGTACTCCACTGACATCCCTCACCCCACCACCCACTCCCATTCCTGTAGCCCAACCTTTCTCCTTTTTCTCTTAAGGCTCATTCATTCATTCCATGAACAATCTTGATTTAAACCCCTATTATGTGCCAGGCATAGTATAGGGTTGGCAGTGACCGAAGCAAACATTAAATCATTGCAGTATCTGTGCTCCAAAGGAGAAATGCAGGAGCTAGGGAGTTCTGATCTAGGCTAGGGCTGGAAAAAGATGTCACTGGAGGTAGTGACCTTTGAGCAGAGTACTGGAAGATGAGGAGAAGTTCCAGTATCCCAGGCAAAAGTAACACCACGGGGCTTCCCTGCTGGCGCAGTGGTTGAGAGTCCGCCTGCCGATGCAGGGGACACGGGTTCGTGCCCCGGTCCGGGAAGATCCCACATGCCACGGAGCGGCTGGGCCCGTGAGCCATGGCCGCTGAGCCTGCGCGTCCGGAGCCTGTGCTCCGCAACGGGAGAGGCCACAACAGTGAGAGGCCCGTGTACCATTAAAAAAAAAAAAAAAAAAGTAACACCACATGTGAAGGCAGAAGGGAACAGAGCACATTTCAGAGACTGAAAGAGGCCAGAGGGACTGGGACAGAGACAGCCAGTGGCAAAGTAGTTCCAGATGAGGCTGGTGAGGCAAATGGAGCCACTCATACAGGCCTTTAGTCTGTGTTATGGCTCATGACATCTAATTAAATCATGATTTACCCACAGGCTTTAAGTGCTGCCAAAATGCCAATGACCTTGCTAACCTCTCCACAGTAGCAGCCTACCCTGCACGCCCTGGTCTTCTTCATGCGAAGGAACCGGCATCATCCCTCTGACAACCACGAACCTGCTCCTTGACCTCTGAGCTCTTGGCCCGTGGATCTCAAACTTTTTCAGGTGAATCAGAATCCTCTGGGGTACGCGATAAATACACAGAGTCCAGGCTTCTACCTTCCCCAATTCTGATTCAGTCGATCCCAGGAAGAATCCATGAATCGGGATTTTGAATTAGCACACACTTTGAGAAGCAATGCCTTTTTTCTTTTAGCTTTTCACGTTTTTAATGTTTTTAAGTAAAACAAGCACATGGCTTAAAAAAAAAAAAATCTAAACAGTAAAGAGTGAACAGAAGGCTCCCTCCTGCCCCTGATCCCCAGCCTCCCATTTCTCATTCCCAGAGGCGATCATTATTAGCAGTTCCTTGATTACTCTTCCAAAGACGTTCTTCAGACACAGTCATATACATATGAACATATTTCCCCCTTATTTTAAATACAGATAGTAGCACACTATGCACACCCTTCTCCACTTTGCTTTTTTCCCTTAATAATGCGGCTAGGAGAACATTCCTTTAGCAATCCACATAGATCTACCTCATTCTTTTAAAGAGTTGCCTAGGGGCTTCCCTGGTAGTGCAGTGGTTAAGAATCCACCTGCCAATGCAGGGGTCACGGGTTCGAGCCCTGGTCCGGTTAGATCCCACATGCCGCGGAGCAGCTAAGCCCGTGCACCACAACTACTGAGCCTGCGCTCTAGAGCTCGCGAACCACAACTACTGAGCCCACGTTCCACAACTACTGAAGCCTGCGTGCGCCTAGAGCCTGTGCTCCACAACGAGAGAAGCCACCACAGAAGCCCGCACACCGCAATGAAGAGTAGCCCCCGCTCGCCGCAACTAGAGGAAGCCTGCACGCAGCAACGAAGACTCAATGCAGCCAAAAATAAATAACTAAAATAAATATATTTTTAAAAACGAGTTGCCTAGCTTTCCATTGCCTAGATGTCATTTACTTTTACCAATTTTCTATCGATGGACATGAAGGATGTCCACTCTTGCTAATTCAAACAGTATTACAATAATTATCCTTGAAGATATGTCTTTTTGCACATGCAAAGTGCGTCTGTAGGACAAACTCTTAAAAGTAGAATTGGTGGAGGAATTCACTGGCAGTCCAGTAGTTAGGACTCCCTGTTTTCACTGCCAAGGCCCCGGGTTCAATCCCTGGTCAGGGAACTAAGATCCCACAAACCACCACGTGGTCAAAAAAAAAAGCAGAATTGGTGGGTCAAAGAGGGTAAGCATCACTACTGTATATAAAATAGATAACCAACAGGACCTACTGTGTAGCACAGGGAACTACACTTAACATCTTGTAATAACCTATAGTGGAAAAGAATCTGAAAAAGTATATATATATAAAAGTATCCGGCTGGCCAGAAAGGTCGTTTGGGTTTTTCTGTAAGATGTTACAGAGGTCGTCCGGGTTTTTCCACAAGATGTTACAGAACATTTTATGTAACATCTTATGGAAAAACCCGGACGACCTTTTTGGCCAACCCAACATATAAATATAAAAGTATACAGGGACTTCCCTGGTGGTCCAGCGGTTAAGACGCCACGCTTCCACTGCAGGGGGCACGGGTTCGATCCCTGGTTGGGGAACTAAGATCCCACAGAGTGTGGCCAAAAATAAAAAAAGTATATATGTAAAAAGTATATATATATATATATATGTAAGTATACATATAACTGAATCACTTTGCTGTACACCTAAAACTAACACATTATAAATCGACTATACTTCAATAAAAGCTTTTTTAAAAAATGAGAAAAAAAAGGGTTAGCGCCTTTTTCATTACTGCCAATCAAGCAGATGACATGGTATCACCCTAGTTTTAATTTGCATCTCTTTGATCATGAGTGAGGATGAACCCGATTTACTGGGTTGATGTTGTTTTTCTAAAAGTACCCTAAGAACTCTTTATATAGTAAAGCAATTAACCCTTTGTCATTTATTTGGCTCATATTTGTCCCACGTTGTCTTCTGAATTTGTTCCTAGCTTTTTTTTCTTTTCTTTTTACTGAGGTAAAATTCATATAACATAAAGTTAACCATTTTATTTATTTTATTTATTTATTTTTGCCGCGTTGGGTCTTCGTTGCTATGCGCGGGCTTTCTCTCGTGGCGGTGAGCGGGGGCTACTCTTCGTTGCGGTGCGCGGGCTTCTCGTGGTGGCTTCTCGTTGCGGAGCACAGGCTCTAGGTGCACGGGCTTCAGTAGTTGTGGCACAAGGGCTCAGTACTTGCAGCACGTGGGCTCAGTAGTTGTGGTTTATGGGCTCTAGAGCACAGGCTCCATAGTTGTGGCTCACGTGCTTAGTTGCTCCGCGGCACGTGGGATCTTCCCGGACCAGTGTCCCCTGCATTGGCAGGCGGATTCTTAAGCACTGTGCCACCAGGAAAGTCCCAAGTTAACCATTTTAAAGTGTAAAATTCGGTGGCACTTAGTTCATGCAAAATGTTGTGCAACCATCACTTCTAGCTTCAAAGTATTTTGCTTCTGGCATTTTTAATAATTCATAATTTTTATATTTAATATGTAGTCAATTATAATCACTTTTTTTAATGACTTCTTGGTTTTTTGTCACCAAGCTCTTGGCCCTTCTGTTTTCTCGCAATTTAACACTTGGTTTTCTTCCCAGACTAAACTTCAGGATCATCACATCAACCACTATCCCATCAGCACCTTCAACTGTTCCTCCTTTCACAAAACCTGCTCTCAAACCCCACTCTTGGCTCTAACCACCACCCCGCCCTTGTCCCCTCCAACACGGGGCTGCTGAGGCACTGCCAGAGAAAAATCACACAACCACGTATGTACTCATTCATCCAACAAATATTTTTAACGCATCCTAGGTGCCAACACCATGCTAGGCGCTGGGTATGGGTTTGGGCCACTACAAACCTATGGCCTTTAACCTCAGCTGGGCCCTCAACACCTGATAACCCCCTATCCCCCTCCACGTCCCTGGTCACCTCCTATTCCTGCTCCCATCCAACTCATAATTTTCTAAACCTTCCTCACATTCAGAGTGACTTCTCCCGCTCTTCACAGAGATTAGGCTCTGAGGGATGAATGATTTTTAATTCCCACCTCCTACCGACAAGCAAGTACCGACATCGACACCGTTTCTCCTACACAACCAAGGCTAAGGTGCCGCCTCCAGGTCGAAGCTAATCCCTCCACCTGTGCTCAGATCGCTCCCCCTCCCACATCCTCTGAGACCTTGATTCATCAAACCGCCCCCATCTCTTCAAACTCTGCCTCTCTCTACTGGTTCTTCCTCCATGGTAAATAGACCCGTGCAAGTCTCTTCCGTTAAAGGAAGAAAGGGAGAGAGGAAGGAAGGCAGGGAGGGAAGGAGGGAAAAAGGGAGGGATAAAGGCAGGAAACCAAAGAAAACACACTCCTCCGCACTCAGGGCTCTTTCACAGTCAAGTCTATCTCCTCTCTTGCTTTTCATGTTTATTTAATTTTTATTTTCAAAGTTGTATATCCACATAGTTGAAGGAGTCAGATACGACTACAAGGGCTATTACAAGAAAAAGTAAATTCCTTCCCCCTGCAATTTCCTTCTCCTCAGAGGCAATTACTTTCACCTCCGTTCGATGTTTCTTTTGGCGTTTACCTCCATCTCTAAACAACATGCTTGTTTTGCTACTTCTTGATTTTTGTTTTAAGCATTGTCTATGGGCTTCCTGCCATGTAAGGTGAAGCCTGAGCACCCTTTCGCCCCCCCTGCCCCGACATGGGAAGCTCTCCCAAGGGAATTCTATCAATCGGGGTTAAATCAACATCCAGGATTTATTGCAAATGTTATCCATAGCTGCGTCATGTGGTCTACTATGATTACCTTTCTCTTCTTGCACAACTGTTTTCCCTGAATAGCTATCATTTTTAAAATTTGCTTATTCTCTGATTTATCACTAATTCTGCTCTATACTCTCCTCCAAAAATCTGGGTATCCTCTCAATTCATTCAAAACAAAACAGATGTTATCTCTTCCATCTCCTTGAAAAATCTCTCTCCAGGAGGCTTCTGACTAGGGTCTAATTCTAGTCACCTCCTGAGAAGGGTACTTGGAAGAGAAACTTGAGACCTTGTACATATCAAAATGTCCTTATTCTATCTTCGTTATTGATAGTTGGGCTGTTGTGAGAGTCTAGATATCCCCTAAAACCTATTCTGCCACGGTGCTAGAACAATAGCTAGGTAAGGACGGGATTTCCCAGAACCCCGGAGCTGGTAAGACCACATGACTGGGTTTTCTTCAAAGGAATGTGAGTAGAAATTATATGTGCCACTCCCTAGCCAGACCTCCGAGACAGGTGTGCCTCCTCCATATTTACTCTTCTGCCTTCCTGCCAGCTGCAACCCACGGAGGGCAGCAACCCAGTTTTGACATTGCACACAGCAATGTCCCAGAGCAAAGCAGCATTTCTCAAAGTTTACTGTGCATACAGATCACCTGGAAGGGAAAAGCAGCGTTTCTCAAAGTATACTGTGTATACAGATCCCCTGGGACCTTCAAACACAGATACTGATGCAGTGGGTCTGTGGTGGGGCCTGAGATCCTGCATTTCTAAAAAGCATCTAGGTAATGCCAATGCTGTGGCCTGAAGACCATACTTTTGAGCATAAGAGCCTAAAGGATGGCAGAGCTGCACTGCTTGCTAGCCTTGGTCTCGGTCTGATTTGTGGAGCACACTGAACTACCCACACCAAACTGTTTTCTGAGAAAAAGTTAAGTTCTGTTTGGTTGAGCCACTGCATTTTTAGCCTTCACCCTACTACAGCTGGAGTACAGAACTCCACATTGGAAATCACTTTCCCCAAAAACGTTGAAGGCGCTGCTCCACTGGTGTGGAGTGTTAGTATTCAGAGGATCAAGGCCATTCTGATTGCTGGTCTATTTTCTCTCTGGAAGCTTCTGCAAGACCCTTTCCTGTGAGACTAGTGTTCTGGTATTTCACGATGTGCCTTGATGCTGGGCACTTAATGGGTCCTTTTCATCTAGAAACACAAGTCCTTTCTTCCCTTTGTTTTCCCTGTTCTCAGAGAATTTAAGCCCCCTGGACTGATTCTCTAATTTTCTCACATCATCTTTCCTATATGCCATCTTCTTTCTTTTGCTTTACTTGCTGGGAGAGTGTTTCAATTTCTCTTTCAACCCTTTTGCTCAATTTTTCATTCTCTCCCTCATGGTTTTATTTTTCAAGTGTGTTTTCTTGGATTCAATCCTTTATTATAGTATCTCTGACCTAAGCGCGTCAATATTTTTTTTCCTTAAGTTTTACTCTATGTCATCGAAGGTGGGGTTTTTTTGGTTTGTTTGGGGTTTTTTTTCTGTTTATTTTGGTCTCTGCCTTCCATGTTAGAAAGTTTCTGCAAACATCTAGAAATCTTTTGTCTGCTCATTTTAAGGGTGACATGCTAAGAAGTTGACTAGAAGATCTGTGGACACAGTTGGGACTTATCAACTGTGGGTTTCACTATGGGGTGATCCGGCTAACTGCTTTGCTGGAGAACCCCTGATGTTAATACTCTTAGATCTTTCCTCTGAATAGTCAAATTCCCCAGATGAGAGTCTTCCAGTCTCTGACCTGGAAGGTAAAAGCCTGGTTGCCAGAGTTCTAGAAACCACCATTCAGTAAATAAACTTTCACTCAATCTCTGTTTTAAATACAGTCATGCCCAGGTGCCCTCCATGCCAAAGACTCTCTGGTTTCCATCTCCAACCAAGAAACCTCCAGCAATCTGATGAGTTGGGGGTGAGTAGCTGCCAAGATATATGAGGATATAAAGGAGGAGATAGGGGGGTCTAACTACTTCAAATAATCCTCCTAATTTTAGTACTACGTACAGCCCAGCTGTACTGGGATGCCACTGATTTAAGGGTAAATCAACTTGCTTCTAAGCCAATCAACTATATTTCAATAAAAAATTAAATTAAATTTTAAAAAAAGAGTTGCTTCTAAGCTTTCTTCACTGCTGGCTTAATTGCTTCACTGCTAAATCAGTTACCACACACCCTTCTGTCTTGCAGTTTCTATTTAAAGTTTTGCTATTAACTCCTCTCTCTCCTTGACTCCTTTCTAAAATCCCCTTATTGCTATCTCCCTAGGATTTAGTAAAGGAGTGAAGTTAAACGCTAGATCTCTCAAGTTTAACTGAAAGTCTCCACTCGTTTGCTAACTCTGTGCAAACTGGCTTCATTCTCAATCTTCCATAAACTGTGAATATTGATCTTCCCTAAAAGGTACAGCTGGTCAGAATACACTGCTTGAAAATCCTTCAAAGGCTCCCAAATGCTTTCAAAATAAAGTCCAAATTCCTTAGCTTGCAAGCCATTTCCTGATCTGGTTCCCCACTCCAGTCTCCCCAGTCACACCTATCCACCACCACACTGCGTTCACTCCAGTCAAACTGAACCCCTTGCTGGACTTCCAATGTGTAAGCCCCTTCACACCACCATGCGCTTGCCTGTGCCTTCCCCTTTTCCACTCCAAGCTCTCATCCACCTGGTTAAGCCTTCAGATTCAGTTCAAGCAGGATTTCCTCCCAGAATCCTTTCTCTGTGTTCCCAGAGACACACCCTGGGCGTAGCCCTAACGAAACATTTATCCCACTATCACGTGAGAGTCCACCTCACTCACCTTTGTATCCCCAGAGCCAACCACATTAACAGGCGATCAGAGAGGGAAAAGGCTGATAGGAGCCAGCTTCTCATAATATACTGACAGTCCGTGTTTCAGGGCTCCCATTCAGGGGGAATCGCTAGGGCGAATAAGGTCACACTCACCAAGTCCGGCTTTCCCCAGGCTCCGATAGGTGGCGGAGTGGGATAGGCAAACACAGGGTCCATGGCTGTCCAGTCTGTAATACCCCAGCGCTCCCACCATCATCACCTAGCACCCAGCAGACGCTCACTAAATTCTTGTAGAAGAAATTAAACACAGACCACAAGACAGTGTCGTAAAGGTGGACAGGTTGAAGGGCGTGAATATTTCGATATTGCCTCTTACCACAGGTGGTCACGCGGTGGTGGCGCAGACCTGGGCATGCGCAGGAGACCCTGGGAGTTGTAGTTCACCAGGAGAACCGAGAAGGCGAGACGGTACTGAGCATCCCGGGAACTGTAGTGTTAGCTAAGGGGCGCGCTCTGCGCGGGCGCAAACCGACAGCCATTTCCGGGCACTTTTCCGCAGCATTTCGCAAAAGGAGGGAATTCCGGAGTAACGATGGCTACCTACAGCTTGGCGAACGAGCGATTACGCGCCCTGGAAGACATCGAACGGGAAATTGGAGCCATTCTTCAGAATGCAGGTTCGGGATACGACGACCAGAGGAGGAGCGGCAGCGAGAGCGCGAGCTAGACCGACCGTGCGCACATGCGCCGACCGGTGACTGGGAGTGGGGTTGGGAGGGATCCTAAGTGGGTGCAGGGGTGGGTGGGGCTGGCTCTGGGGCGCGGCTATACTGGCAGTCTCCGGAGAGCCCCGCCCACTCTCCACCCCGGCAGGTACAGTGATCTTGGAACTTTCCAAGGAAAAAACCAATGAGCGGCTCCTAGACCGACAGGCAGCCGCCTTCACCGCGTCGGTGCAGCACGTGGAGGCGGAGCTGTCGGCTCAGATCCGCTATCTCACTCAGGTGTGTGTGTGTTGGAACGTCCTACGCGCGTGTGTGTGTGTGTGTGTGTTTTGGACCGTGCGACACGCCCAGCTCACTGCCTTAGCCTTAGCCTTCAGGAGTCCCGGGCAGAGCTTTGGTCTCAGGAGCTAAGCAAGACCAGCCCTACCCAGCAGGCCTGTTGACCCTGGCAGGACTCCTCCCTTCCCGGGTAGGTTTCCTTTGTCACTGAGTTGCATCACATGAGCCACTGGATGGGGAAGTCCTGGGAGAGGGTGTGTAAACAATACGAAAGCCACAGGATATGCTCTTAGAAACTTGACCAGACCTCAAGGGTATGGAGCTCCAGATGGCTGCCTCCTGAGAAAAGGAACAGGATTGGAAGTGTTCTGAGGTCATTATAACAGCAACTACCATTTACTAAACTTTTACAGTGTGCCACTCTGCATTATCTAATCCTATAACAACTCCAGAAAGTAGTTAGTTACTGTCATCCCCATTTTACAGATGAGGTTAACAGAAATTCAGTGATATGCCCTAGGTAATCCAGCTAACCAAGTGGCATAGCAAATTCAGACTCAGGGAAGAAATGAGGCAAGAGACCTGATGCCTGGTTGGGGAGATGGGAAAGGGGAGGGGTGCTTCTTTGATCAATCTAAATGTCCTGTAGGTGGCCACAGGGCAGCCCCATGAGGGCTCCAGCTACTCTTCGAGGAAGGACTGTCAGATGGCTCTGAAGCGAGTGGACTATGCTCGTCTCAAGCTCAGTGAGGTGGCTCGAACCTGTGAGCAGATGCTGGAAAACTAGGCCAAGCAGGTGAAAAGCTTGGAAGGGGAGCTCCACCTGCACCCCAGGACAGAACCTGGAGAGCATGGGCTGCCCCGTACATGTGCTGCTGGTCAGAAGCCATGAGGACGAAGGCACAAAAGGCGGGAATGGAGAACCTTAAAGACCAAGCCCATGCCTGGCTGTGCCCTGGCTCCTCTTGCCATGCACTTCACCGAGCGCTGACAAACTCAGGACAGGAGACAGAGACTCAAGACACCCAATCCACTTCCTCAGGTCCCTGCCCCAGGCTTCTGGTAGACTTGGACCAATGAAGACACATTTTTGTTCACTGGAAAAGATAAAATGAGAACTAAGGGTTTTGATAATAAAAACAGTAACACTAAAAACAAGGAGCTCAGACTCTCATTGGGGCATATATGGGTGATGTAAGGGGTTGAGGAAGTAAAACCAGGCTGTATGGCAGCTGCTGAGGAGGGAGGGTGGGAAAGTGGGAGAGGGCTGAAGTTGGGGAGGAACACTGCTGTGGTGTGAAGAGACAAGGACAAGACACAAGGGACTTGGGACAAGGAGGTTGGCAGGGATTGGGGGATGCGCTGAGGGGGAAGGTGTCAGGTGGCCATCAGCAGAGAAGCTGAAGCCAGGAATCATGGTAAGGGGGCAAGGGCATGAGACCAATGTCTGCAGAAAGAAGAGTCAATAATTATAAAAATAAGTTTTAGTAGTTAAAAAATCCACATATAGAATTTGTACAAGATATCTAGTATAAGAGGTGATTTTACATTACAGCATGAAAAAAAAAAAACGGAGGGAACGTCTAAGAGAGGGCGGTGGCTGGTTAGTTGTATATTAAACATCGACAAATATGTAGAGAGTGCCTGCCATGTACCAGGGATTGCTCTAGTATATTAACTGCATTTGATACTGAATAAATCGTAATCTGCCCTCACAAGCTTCCATTCTTTAAGCATTGGCGTCTGCTGCCACACGCACATAATGAAGGTGCAAATCTGGAAAAGATAAAGAAATTGAGAGATGAGCTCTGAGATCAAGGGAAGTTGGGCGGGGGGAGTGGGGGGCAAGGGGTGATAGCTTGAACTGGGGAATCAGATTCCAAAACATTGACTACAGATCAGGTACACAGTAGGTGCTCAATAAAGATGTGTGAACTGAACGAATAGCTCCCACCTTCCTCCATCGCTTCATCTCCCACTCGTCTGCTCTAGCTGCCATCTTGATGTTGCTCAAGCACTGCCTGGCTTTGAAGGCCATGCACTGGTCCCTGGGCCTATGGTGGCTTCCCTCCCTCCCCATTCTGTAGTCTGGCTGACTCTCCCCTCATTGCCTGTTGTCCGTGGTGCAGGCAGCCTCCACATTTGCCGGCCTGAGAGCTACTGTGGGCAGGATCCCTACCAAGGAGCCTCTGGATCCCTGGAGGAGGGGTTCAGAGGCCCAGTTTACCTGGAGGACACTGCAGTGACTGCTCCCTCCTCTTCTCGCACAGCATGTAGAGCAGGGCTCCAGTGAGGAGGAAAACGATGCCCAAGAGGGACAGCACTGGCACCATGGCTGATGTCCCAGCTGCAGGACCCACATTCTCTCCCAGCTGCCTCTGGTTCCCCCTGGCCCCAGGCCTTGCCCCCAGATGGTGGCCCAAAGTGTAAGTGGTAGTCTCATTGGTGTGGATGAGCTTTTGGTCCAATGAAGGTGCTCCTTCTGGAGGGGTGGGCTGCTGGGTAGGCTGCAGGGTGGATGGCAGGTACTTCTGTGCGGGGGTGCCCGTGGCTGAAGTTGTGTTTTCTGTGGGCTCAGGAACCTGGGTGCTGCGGGGAGGTACATGTCCCTGGCGGGCCACACTCCTGGCGTGAGCACGTCCACATTCTGAAGAAGCAAGAAGTGAGGAATCAGGGCTATGAGGGGATAAGCTGAAGAACTAGATAGAGGGAAGGGTAGTGGGTCAAGGAGAACATCAAGGGAACAGCTAAATGCCAGGAAAGAAAGGCAGGGGCAGAGGGGAAACATGGGGAGATGGAAGTGAGCAAACCACAACATGGAACCACTGGGGCGAGCATGCATTCTGAACAGGGAAGTCAGGAGACCTGGGTTGGAACCCGGGCTCTGCTACAAAGTAGCTGTGACCTTGCCCCTTGTCTCTTAACCTCTCTGGGATTCATTTCTTTCAGCTGTAAAGCAGGGATAATTTTAGTACTAAAGGCCAGAGTAGCCAGGAAGAGTAAATGAATAAGGTAGGTCTACGTAGCCAAAGGGCAGTATGGGTACCACCAATGCTACAGAAGACAACTTTAGCTGGGACCTGGAAGAACACTTTGTGTCTTAGTGGTTGTGTATTTATTTTAGGAGAAAAATACAACCAGCATATCAAATTTGTGACTTCACAGATGTTCCTGCTTAGGACTAGTTGCCATTAAGTTTTTCAGAAGTGGCTGTGTACATTTAAGATTTATTCGTTTCATTGTTTGTAAATTTTACCTTAAAAGAAAAAAAAAAGGTACAATAAAATATAAAACCCTCCTTAATAATATACATGATGAAATGTCTGGGGATAAAGTATAGTCAACCCTGCAACTTACTTGGAAGTGCACCAAAAAATATTAGGCAGGTTGATGAGGAATAGAGGGATGGATAGACAGATGGGCGTGCAATAGAGCAAATATAGTTAAAATGCTGTAGACTCGATATTGTAAAATATAAAATATATTTGCTTTATTATGTACACACATAAAATATAAAAATCAAATATTATAGAATCTAGGTGGTGGGTATATGGATATTCACTGTACAAATCTTTCAACTTTTATATATGTCTTTAAATTTCCATAATAAATTACTGGAAAATAAAAATAGTGCCTTGATTTCAAGGAAAACATTAAGTAAATGCACAGGTGATAGGATGAATTGGCAAAAATCCTGGAAGTGACGGTGAGTGATTTCTGGTAAACAGGGACTTAAGTGAAAGTACACAGAATAGGAATGTGAGGTGTCAAAGGGGAAAGGGCTGAGGCAAAGAAAAGTGTAAGGTGGAGGCGGCCGAGCCCTGGAGACAGAGCCTGGGGAGGAGGGAGAACGCACTCACCTTCACGATCAAAGCAGCGCATCAGTTCGTGGACCCACCGGTCACTGCTGCCTCCACACACACTTCCCAAAGGTAGCTGGAACCTGTAAGGAAGGACGTGGTCTCAGCTGTGTCTCCAATCTCCGCCCCCTTTCCCTCCCCCCACTTTCCCAGCCCTTTCCTCGTTCCAAAGAAGTGAGGTCACTGCCAAGATTCAGCAGTTTCTGCCGGGACTGGGAAATTCCAGGCGGGACAGGGAAACTAAGGTGTGGAGAATTAGGGCACACATAACCTAATGTTATGCAGACTATAGAAGGGACTAGGGGTCCTCCCAGAAGGAGTTCAAGTTTGACCAGAGAGGGTCCTGGAGGCACCCGGAGGCTCTGCGCTCCCAGGGGTGGGTGAGATTACCTGACGTAGGAAGAGCAACGTTGATAGACTTTCAGGTATTTTCGGAGATGTCCCATGTATTGATCGTTAGGAGGGGAGTGGGAAGAAATTCTTCTATCACAGGGACAACTGCCAGCGATGCTACCTTCATTGCCATCGCCTGAGCGGGACCGAGGTGGTCAGCACAGGTTCCCAGGTTCAGGGGCTCACGCAGCGGTAAACTTAGCCTCCAACCCACAGCCCCACTGCAGCCTCTCCCCTAGACCCGGGGATCTGAGCCCCTCCCACCCCCAGGGCTCAACTCACACATCACACTCCCCAAACACGTCCATAATCACACCTGGGCCCTGGTGTTCCCCAGCCCGTCCCCAACCCCAGGCAGCTGGCCCTCCCCCTGCCCCGGCTGCCTTGGGGACCCTGGCTCCCCACTTATTCAACTCAACCCCGCGGCCCTCGTGCCCCCCATCCCCTTCCCCGGATTCGGGGATCTGGGCACCAGCCGGGCCCCTGACGAACCTGGAGGAGTGTGGCACAATAGAAAGAGTAGGAGCAAGAGGATCTGGAGTTCCCAGCTCAGCATCATCTCGGACCCGCCTCGCCCTGTCTGACTCCCAGACGTGCTCCGGAGCCTGACGTCCAGCCGGTTTCTCAATGGCTTTCGCTTCCTTCTCCCGCTACGCCTGAGATTCTGCGGGAGACGTCGGCCGTCGGCACCAAGGCCGGGCCGAGGCGAGGCGCGAGGTGGCGGCGCCTCCCTCTGGGCGCCCTCACCGTCTCGAACCAGTAAGTGCGGTCAGTACCGTTGTAGCCGCGTGATCGCCAGCCTGGGGCGGCGGGGAAACTCCGGGAGGCGGAGCGCCTCTGCCCGCGCTCCCGCACCCAGCCCAGTGCCCCGTCGAGGAGGCAGCCAGGAATGTTTGAAGAAGGCGAAAGAAAGCGGAAGAAAGTCCAGGCTGCAGGTCCAGGCGCGGCGGGCGGGCACTGCCCACTAGGCTGATCCGGTTCGGCCCGGGGATGTCAGCCCCGCCCGCCCGCCCTCCCTCCACAGGTCAGTCCGCTGGACCTCCTCCTTCGAGAGGCTTTCACTTTTCGGGCTCGGGTCCGGCGCACCGGGATCCAGTCACGGATCCAGTCACATGGTTGGAGTGACCGCGGCAGACGAGTCCGCGCGCCCAGCAGCACACTGACTGCCCTGAGCGCCTCTGCGCCGCGCAAGACACAGGGGGCGTGGCAACCCAAGGAGCCGGCGGAGGGCTCGGGCAGCCTGACGTCACGCCCCACCCCGAGGTATTTACCTTCGAAAAGTGGTGGCGGCTGCAGGTACCGGAGTAGCGGACCGGACGGGAGGGGCTAGGTGTACCGGGGCTCACCGCCAAACCTATCCAAGCCGAAGATGCCCTAGCTCCTGTCCCCCTCCTCCCACACCCCACAGACGAATCCAAAACTCTTCCCTCCTCACCAAACCCTTGCCCATAGGATTAGCCCTCTCCCACTTCTATCCTCAACTCAAACCCTACCTTTGAGGGTTTGAGCCTCAAATTTTGAGCCCCAAATACCATCTCCCTCCCGACCAGTCATCCTTAACCCTATCACCCACTTTCAAGTCTGGACCCCATTCTCACCCTGAATTCCCATCCTCCGCCCTGAAAACTCCTTCCTCACTCCTAACACTCATACACAGATTCCACCCTAAGTGACCCTCAAACCCACAATCTCCCCCATTTTATGACCCAGCCCCAAACTCTCCCGAGTACCTCTCTCTCACCATACATCCCTCCCTCTGCTCAGTCTGGGCCCAGGCCTTGTTTCCCTGAAGACATGGAGTTTGTGTCTGGATACCGGGATGAGTTCCTTGATTTCGTTGCCCTCCTCTTTGGCTGGTTCCACAAGTTCGTGGCGGAGCGCGGGGCCGTGAGAACCAGCCCGGAGGGTTGCTGGTGGCAGCTGGAGGCTCAGATCAGAAGGCTGCCCCAGGACCGCGCCCTTTGGGTGCTCCACGTCTTGCCCAACCGTAGTGTGGGCATCAGCCTGGGGCAAGGGGCAGAGCCAGGCCCTGCACCAGGCCTGGGGGCTGCCCAGCTCCTGGGAGACGAGCCCCCACTCCACCTGCGGGACCTAAGCCCCTATGTCAGCTTTGTCAACCTGGAGGAAGGGGGAGAGGAGGAGGGCGCAGGCACCGAGAAAGTAGAAACAGAGGCGGATGGGAAGCCAGCCCCTACCAGCAGGGAGTCCCCACGGGAAGCAAACCCCCCAGGGGAGGCAGACGGGGCCCAGCAGGAGGCAGGAGGTGGCGAGGTCGGCTGCCAAGAGGACAGAGCGGAGGACAAACCAAGGCCTGAGAGGAGAAAGGGACAGAGAAGTGGTAAGAACCCAGGGCTGGCCCTGCCTTGCCCCTGCCCAGGCATACTCCCCTTCAAAGCCCTCCTCTGCCCCTCAGAATCCAGTTAGGAGTCACAAATGGGTGGCCCTCAGGCCAATCTGGCCTAAAAAGGTGTCTTCATTGATCCACAATGTTCTTTGTTTTTTAAAATTTGAGCCAACATTTAAACATTAAAAGAAAAAACTTCCAGAATTCTGGAGCTACCCCTTAAGAAAAATGTAAAGTTCCCACAGCAGGCCCACATTTCCACCCAGCAGCAAATGCTGGTTCTGTGTAGCCGCAGTCCCCTTCCGATGAGGCGTGCCCTCTCTCCCTAGTCCCCTTCGCTCAGTCTCCTAGTCCCCGTGGGCATTTGATTTGGTATCCCTGACCCTGACAGTCTTTGCCCCCGACTTTTCCCTTTTTCCCCAGAGGCGGCCCCCCTGCACCTTTCCTGCCTCCTACTGGTGACGGATGAACATGGCACCATCTTGGGCATTGACCTGCTGATGGATGGAGGGCAGGGGAGTGCAGGCAGGGGCTCAGGGACACAGAACCTGGCTCCTCGGGCCTATGCTCTCCTCTGCCACAGCATGGCCTGTCCCATGGGCTCTGGAGACCCCCGAAAGCCCCGAAAGCTTACTGTGGGAGACGCCCAGCTGCATCGGTACAGAAACCTGGTAGAGGGTGGGGAAGCCTGGGGCCCTGGGCTCCTGAGCCCCCCAGCCTGATGCCATCTCCACCCCCATTCAGGGAGCTGGAGAATCTGGTCCCAAGGCTGAAAGTGAAGCTAGCCAAGACCCCGATGCGGACATGGGGTCCCCGGCCCGGCTTCACCTTTGCCTCCCTTCGGGCTCGAAACTGCCATGTTTGTCACAGGCATAGCTTTGAAGTGAAGCTAACCCCCTGGTGAGCAGCCTGCAGAGATGGAGGGAGCGGAAGGAAGACCCCAACAGTCAGGCAAACAGAGAGGAAGCAGGCTGGGGGGGGGGGCCCTGCAGACAGACAGAGTGACGGACAGGGAAACAAGAAGATGACACACACACAAAAAAGCTGTTATAGGCAGAGAGAGTACAAACAGACTGAGTGCGTATGGGCAGCCGCAGGACAGATGGACAGCAGACAGGGGACCTACAGACACCAACACTGAGTGCCCACCCCCCCCACCCCCCGTGACCCCAGCCCCCAGTGTGGCGCTGTCTTGTACTGCGGAGAGGCTTGTCTCCAGGCTGACTGGAAGCGATCCCCAGATGATGTGAGCCATCAATTTTGGTGCCCAAGGCTTGCAGCCTTCATGGAGCGGGCCGGAGAACTGGGAACTCTGCCTTTTACCTACACCGCAGGTACCCTAAGAAGGTCAGGATGGGTGGGGGAAAGTGGGACCCGGTCTTTGGAACTGGGGCCCCAGGTGCCTGGGAACAGGGTCTTGGGCTTGAAGGGTAAGTGCCTGGGGCTGGAATCTAGATCCCTGGAATAACAGCTGGGTGCTGGGTATTTGGGGCTGGGGGCTAGACCCCTGGGGCTGGACACAGCATCTCTGGAACTGAGAACTGAGCGCCCTGGTCCCTGAGAGAACTTATGGGATTCGGGAGTAGGGATTCAAATACTTGCTTCTCAGCTTCACCACTAACTGGTGAGCTGAAACAAATCGCTTTACTTCTTAGAGCTATTTCCTCAACTGTGAAATGGGCAGACTAACAAATGTTAAAACCCATGGAATTGTTATATGGGTTCTCTGGGCTACGCTGTAGACACTCAGGAATGTTAATAGCTCTCTGCCTGACTAGAACCAGACTCAGACTCAGGGTCCTGGGGAGAGACTGAGGAGAGCCAAAGTCTGGAATCCTGGCCACCAGGCCCTCAACCCCTCCCCTCATCCTTCTCCAGAGGTGACCAGTGAAACCTTTAACAAGGAGGCCTTCCTGGCCTCACGAGGCCTCACTCGTGGCTATTGGACCCAGCTCAGCATGCTGATTCCAGGCCCTGGCACCCCCGGGCACCCAAGGAGCAGCACGCCATCCCTCAGCGTTCTTCTCAATGGTGTGTGGGGCCTCTCTCCAGGCATAAGTCCCTCAGACTAGAGGGAAGGACGGGAGAGCAAAAAGTTGTCCAGGTCCTAGATAACCCCTCCACATACACACCAAACCTCACCACCACCACCAGGGCATTTCATGCCTCTCCTCAACCCTCAGAAAAGTCACCCCTGCCCAGCCCATCCAGAAGCCCCATCCTTAGGCAGCTCCCCATTCCTCCTGCTGCATCTCCAGGCCCTCTCTCAGGGAACACAGCTCCTTTGGAAGAAGGAAGAGGCCAGGTGGAGACCTCCCTGACACCAGGCTCCTCTTCTTTCATCCTCTCAGGAGATCCCTACCAGCTTCTTCAGGGGGATGGGCCTGCTCTGATGCCTCCTGTGCCCCCAGATCCACCCAGGGGCCTCTTTGGTGAGCTGGAGGGGCCCTGAGGGAGCTAGGGGTAGGGACGGGGACTGGAGGGCCAGCAGACTCGGTGGCCGAGAAAAGGGGCTATTGGACAGGAGAGGTGGGGGTCCAGGCCTGGGGCAAGGTCCCCAGTAACCCACTCTCCCCAGGCTCGTGGCAGGATTACTACACATGGCGGGGGCTCAGCTTGGACTCCCCCATGGCTGTGCTTCTCACCTACCCGCTGACTGTGTACTACGTCATCACCCATCTGGTGCCCCAGTCCTGTAAGGAGGGCGGAGGCAGGGGGAGGAGTGCGTGGAGCAGGAGGGCCGGGGTGGGGGTGGGAGGTAGGGGACAGGAGGGAGGGGAGGAGGAGACCGTATTCTTAAATGACTAGCTTATCACCCAGTCCCTGAGCTCAACATCCAGAACAAACAGTCACTGAAAATCCACGTGATGGAGGCTGGGAAGGAGTTTGACCTCATCATGGTGTTTTGGGTAAGTCCCTCCAGGCCTGAGGGTTGAGCATTTGGGTGTGGAGGTGGACGCAGGGTGGGACCCAGATCTGTCCTCTTTGCCCTTCAGGAGCTCTTGGTCTTGCTCCCCCACGTGGCCCTGGAGCTGCAGTTTGTGGGTGACAGCCTGCCCCCTGAGAGTGACCAGCAGAATTTTACCCTGCAGAGGGTGAGGGCTGAGGGGGGTGCCCTGCTCTTTAGCCCTAACCCTCCTGCTGTCCTCCCAGCTGGGCTCTGCCCTTCCGATCCCTGCCTCCTCTCCCCGTCTTACCTGATGCATCTCCCAGTACCAAAACTTCCACTGGCTTCTCCACCCCACTCCAAACTCCTCAGGATGACCTCGAAGTATCTGTCCGTCCTGGTTCCGGGGTATCAGCACGGCTAAGCTCTGGGACTAAGGAGAAGGGGAGCCGCAGGGACCTGCAGATCAAGGTGTCTGCACGGCCCTACCACCTGCTCCAGGGGCCCAAGCCTGACTTGGTTATCGGTAAGCGCCTGGGGTAGGAGCATGGGGGAGGTCGGAGGAGGCCCTGGGAGCCAGCTTCTCCCTGCTCTCCTTTCCTCCGCAGGATTTAACTCTGGCTTTGGTCTAAAGGACACTTGGCTGAGCTCGCTGCCCCGGTTACAGGTGGGGGATGGGACAAAAGGGACCTTCTCTCACCTCCTGCCCGGTCCCTCCTCCTTTTCTGAAAGTCTCTTCTTCCCCATCATCCGCTCTACAGACCTGGGGTGTGCCAACGGGTCCTCCTGCCCCCCTCTGTGCCTGCCTCGTGCCTCTCCCCATCCCGGTCCGCCTGGGTCCTCGGGAGGTACGTGTGGTTGGGATCCTTTCTGAGAGTGTCTGAGGCCCCGCCCCCACCCCAGTCCCTCCGAGTGCCGGCCTTCTTCACCGAGAGCAGCGAGTACGGCTGTGTGATGGACGACCAGACCATGGCGGTGGCCACGGGAGGGGGCACCAGCCCTCCACAGCCCAACCCTTTCCGCTCCCCCTTTCGCCTCAGAGCGGCGGACAACTGTATGCCCTGGTAAGGCCTTCTTACTCTCTGGCCACGCATCCTGAAAGGCCCACCGCTACCCTCGTCTCTGCGGTCCTGGGACCCTCCTGGCCCAGCCCTACACCCTGCTTTCGCCGCCCGCACTCCCACCACCGCCGCTGGAGGGTCTCGACAACGCCCACACACCCCTCTTTAGATCCAGCTCACAAAAATCTCTCCAACTCCTCGTTTCCCAGCCCCGCCCCCCCCCCACCCCCCCAGCCCCAACCCCTCAGCAAAAAAAAGCCAGGTTACGCTCGGGCTGGCAGAGCCCTAAGTTTAGCCCCACCCCCTGAAACTCGGAGCCCACAAACTCCGCGCCTTGGGAAAATCCCGGCCTCTTGGCACCGCCCCTGACGGCGCCACGCCCCCCTCAGGTACTGCAACGCCTTCATCTTCCACCTGGTCTACAAGCCTCCGCAAGGGAGCTGGGCCCGCCCGGCGCCAGGGCCCGCGCCTCCCGCCCCAACTCCTACCGCTCCTCCCGCCCCCGCCCGTAGGCGCCGAGGAGAAAAGAAACCTGGGCGGGGGGCCCGCCGGCGGAGGTGAGGGCGGAGAGGTAGAAGTCCACCCCCTCTCCTAACACGCCTCAGAAAGGAACACGAAACAGGCGAGGCCGAGGGGGAGGCCAGCTGGTGGAACACGAAAGGTAATTAAACTTACTTGTTTGAAACCACTGAGTCAAACGCTCATAACTGGGTCCTTAAATGGAAAGAGGATTAAAGGATTTACGGATGACATTTTCTTCCATCTTTCTTCAGTTCCTCGAAAGCTGTCCCCTCTG